CAGCTATTTAGTTAATGCATTCGGTCTGCATAATGGAACACTGTTCTTAGAAATGATATATGAATGCATGAGAATTATATACTGGTTTTTTTCCTGAACATCATAGATTTTATATATATATAAAGCAGGTAGAACTAACATATTACAGAAGGAAGTGGCAGAGCTCTTTTCCCCAGTCCATTTGTTTTCCATACAAAGAGAGTTAATTGGAAAAAGCATTTAACTTGAGATTTCTGCCTTTGCAGTCTGAGTCAGCAACCTAACTGGATTCCACTGAATGCTTACATCTCCTAATAATAAATTTCTCCTCCATAAATGTTGGAAAGGAATGGAAAGAAAAGTAGAATGATATTACTTTGGCTAAGCTAGGCAGCAACATTTTTAATTTCACCCCCCCTCCAGATGCATTTTCGCTCTTAAATTAACTGTGGAAAAAAATGATTTGATTCATGACTACATTAGGAATCTACTCAACCAAATCTCCTTTGTCACAAATTAAATAATAATCCCAAAGTCAAACATGATTTGTGAAATTAACATTTATCGAAGAAACACTCCCCGTGCTGCAACGCCGTCTTTGGCATCCGAAATATCAATCTTAATTCATAATATGCCTAAGAAACCAGGCTACCAGCACTGCAATTAAGACATGATGTTTGATGGAATGCTGATCAACTAACCTGAGACTAATTTGTAAAGGGGAGAAGATTGTGCTGTGTTGTATTTGCTGGCGACATCGGCATCCCCCTCTTAAACCTGAACTTTACAAGGTAGGAAATTACTGACACAGAGCTTTTTCACTCCTCCACAGTCATACTCCATTATTGTATTATCCAAAACTCATTAATTGATTTATTATGTTTCCACATTACCAATCGTATCATCTTGTTTTAACAGCAAGCAATGGCCTTTAGTATAACATCGGTATAATTTTCTTTAAATTATCGCCATCAATCAAATTGCAATATTTTTATACTTTGACAATAAATATCTTTCATCTTAAAGTTCTGGGATATAGCTGTCTGAGAAGCATTTTATTACCCTATCTTACAAAGAGATAAACTGAAATTTCAGCACCCCAAATCCTTAGATTTACACAACTAGTATGCAGTGCTATCAGGTCTAATATTTTCAAAAGTGATTGATAGTTTGATCACAATGCATTTTTCAAACATAATTTGATTATTTATGGACTTTGGTTTTTTTTTTTTTCCACCTCTTGCTATGATTTCTCTTAGGGATGAAAAGATATTCTGAGTAGCATGCGCCAAATCAGTATGGAGAAAGTCTCCTATCCCTTAAATCTAATCAGTGGGGAACAAATGTCATATATGATCATAAATCCCCAAATGGCACTGTATACAGTGTCAATCTTGTCTGTTTTGTGATTCTGGAGGAAAAAAACCCACAAGAAAGTATAGAAGTACCTTGATAATAAGCACAGTTATTGTGGCATCAATCTTTTGTAAATTAGTTAGAAGCACTATCTAACATTGCCAGGATGGCTCTGTAGCCATTGTGTTGTACATGGATATGAGAAATCTTCATTCCAATCTGTGCTCAGTTGCTATGATACAGCATAATCTGCTTTATAGGGTCAATGTGTGTATGGCTAATTATTACACATTTGAAAAAAACATGTTGCAAAGCATATTGGTGTGAGTGAAGCAGGTCTGCACAAAGCAGTAAAGCAGTTTTGTCTAATGGAAGGTTTTAAGACAGCTTCAAAACCTTTCTGGGTGGTTATAGCTCCACTTTGTTTTGCTGGCAGACTCCCATAGAACTGTATGCTATTGGTTCATACTGTATATACGTTTGTGCAGACAGCCAGAGAAAGTCTTCAAAACAGTGGTGCCAAATTTCCATAGGACACAGATACTTTCTTTTAAGAAAGGTCCCTTCTATTACAAAAGGCCTCTTTCCAATGCTTTGCGCAATCCTACTAATTAGATTCCAGATCAGACTTTTATGATGCAATTAACTGGCTTTATTCACAGAACTTTACAAAGTTGGTAAACTTGTCCTCTGTTTTAAAATGGCTTTTTCCTAGTGCTTCCCTTATTTTTCTTTCCATTAAAAAAAAAAATCCATTAAGAAATGAAAATAGGAGAAAATCCCCTTTCCTGATATTTGATAACATTCAGTGAGAAAGTGGGTAGAGCCTGGAAACCATACAGGTTCGCAAGGTATCAAACATAGAACATTAAACATGTATTTTTGTGTTTTTGTGTGTGTGGGAGGAGCTACAAGCCTATATTCTGACATTAAAATGTTTTTATTGGGTGACTAACTACTAGAGTTCAGTTACTCATCTCCAGATTATACAATATTTTTACTTTTTACAGTACAGCAGTACAGCAAATATAAAAGTATCTTAACTATACACTATTGCCGGGATGGCGAACCTATGGCACGCATGCCACAGGTGGTACGTGGAGCCATATCTGTGGGTATGCAAGTGTTGCCCTAGCTCAGCTGCAGTGTGCACGCGCACACTGGCCAGCTGATTTTCGGGCCTTTTGGGCCCACCAGAAGTCGGGAAATTGACTATTTTCGGCCTCCGGAGGGCCTCCGGGGGGTGGGAAAGGCCATTTTTGCCCTCCCCAGGCTCCAAGAAAGCCTCTGGAGCCTGGGGAGGGCGAAAAATGGGTCTACCAGTACCGGTAACCTTTTTGCCATTGCGTGCCAAAAGTGGGGGGAGTGCGGAGGGGTCACGCACACATGCATGGGGGAGCAGGGTGCAGCGGGGCATTCAATTATGGGTGTGGGCACGCTCGCATGCAACCCCCCCGTGTTTCCCCCCGCTTTTGCACGCGACTGCAAAAAGATTAGTCATCACTGCACTATTGTATATTGCTAATAGCTACACTTAAAAACAATTCAGGAACAGCCAGATAAGTCACATGTATCTATATAAACAAAAAGGCAGAGAATATTTTTTTCTGTTATTTTTCTGGAGTTACCTTGAGGTAAGATGGGCAGCGTATAAATTTTATAAATAAATAAATAATATTATTTTTTCTAGTATTGCAGTTCATTGTTGAAAAGACTTTCAAGAGAGGGAAAGGGAGAGAGAGAGAGAGAGAGAGAGAGAGAGAGAGAGAGAGAGAAAGATTGAACTGCTTCATCTTTTACAGTTAATTTTTGAATGTATGGATCAATTTTGTTTGACAACAATTTATTGTTCTAGTTCTATGGTTTATATGTAATCATTACTTCCATTCCACACTCTCCCCTTGGTTTAGCAATCTCATTTTCAAGGAGACATGATATTTTAAAACGCTACCTACAGCCCAGGTAGACGAATTTGAATCTTGCTCACTTCTTTGCTTGTCATAAAGTTGGAAATGTTTGCATTTTTTTGTATTTTGCACACAAGAAAATTGTGCATGTTCCAAATCAGTAGGTGATGCCTGGTGATGAGATTTCTAAGAGAAAATTAGCTTAAAACTGCAGCCAGGGAAATTGGTGAAGACCCTAAGTTGAAAAGCAGATGAGAATGAGAACACTACTTGTGATAGCATCCCATTCCTCTTGAAGACTCAAGCTCATAGTTTGGATATATTCCTACATTTATCTACTTCCAGGTTTTATTCTTCTTATAACAAAAAGCCTGCCAGTGCAGTTAAATAAATAAGTAATGACAAACAAAATATAATAATCCATAACAAAACCTCTCTAAAATCTATAAAGCGGATGCAATATTAATAAATCTTAAAACATCAACAATTAAGACATCATGGTCCAGTAAGAAGATCAATCTTGAACTCCATTCCTAGTTTGGGAGTAGGTAGAAGTCTCATCTAAAATCGGTGCACTAGCTATACCTCTTTCTGGAAATAATACTGTACATTAGTTCCAATCTGGCCTTGCCTTAACGACATCCCTCTGGATTACTATGACCTCCTTTGTAGGGAGGAACTGGTTTTGAATAGGATTCAGAAATGTCAATGAGTTCAGAATACTGCTGTCAAACTACTGACTGGGAATGACTGCAGGGAATATGTAAAATCTCTTGTTAAAATAACTCCACTGCCAATTATCTATGGCGGGGGACATAAGGCATTATAACCTATGTCATGCACCTAGGAAATTTGAAAAGCTATATTCCTCTTTAGAAGTTTCTTGAGGCTTTTGATATTCTGCCTGGTGAGCTTCAAGCTTTATATATACTTTTTTTGATGAGAACACAAGGCAGATATTCTCCAAGCTACTTTATCTGCTGAGATGAGTTGCACTGTTGAATTGTTTTTATATTTAACGTTTTAATTCTGTCTTACTTATCTTTAATTAGAATTTTATTTCTCATTTCATCTTTATAAATTGTAAAACATGGTGATAAAACATAAAATATCTTAATATATTTTATATATCTGGCCAATTCTTTTGTTTGTTGATAGTAAACCTGGAAAAGCTCTGTCATTCAATTCCCCTAAGAAAGTGACAATGGATATATTCATTAGTCTCACAAAGTCAGTAAAATAAATAGAGCCAGTAAAAATAAATAAACGAAACATCAATATTGTGGGGGAAGGAACCAAAAAGGTTCTTAAATCTTAAATGACATTTGATTATAATACTTCTTTTAGCTTTGAGAAATATACCCCTTTTCAAATTCCAGAGCAGATCTTTCCAGCCTGATGTCCTCACAGATATATTTTAACTTTCATCTAAAACCTACCAAACTAGGGAATTCTGCTTTAGAGAAATGTAAGGAACAATAAGAATTCAATTAATTTATCAATTGTGGAATTGACAGATTTGACAAGTTCCAACTGTCAATACATCCATGGGTTTACTGAGTTATATTGAAAGAGTCATTCACTAGTCTGTTTCTGTTGATTTGACTGGTCTACTCAACATATTAAGATGTTCAATAGCCTCCCAATGTACTATATTATTCTTTAATATGTTATAAGCCACCCAAAGTCACTATGTGTGAGTTGGTCTGCCATATAAATTTGTTTAATAATAAATAAATGTCAATGAATAATACCTACAAATATTTTTTATTTTCATAAACGTCGTGCAGCTTTAAAACGTGGGGATGTTCTATCAACTTCAAGATGGCTATTTCCCGTTCCACCTAGAAGAGAAAAGAAGGATACAAGAGATTAAAATCTATGTCTTAGATTATATGGCAATGTTCTGTCTACCATCTTTCACTTGTTCAGTAGTAAAATAATGTAGAAAATAGATATACAGGAAATGTGACCAGTTGACAAAAAAACTAATGGTATTTGCTTATTTTCTATTAAAATTATGCTAATGTTCATTCAAATCAGGGGTGCTATTCAGTAGGTTCTGACAGGTTCTAGAGAACCAGTAGTGGAAATTTTGAGTAGTTCGGAGAACTGGCAAATACCATCTCTGGCTGGCCTCCGAGTGGGGTGGGAATGAAGATTTTGCAATATCCTTCCCCCAGGAGTGGGGAGGGAATGGGGATTTTGCACTATCTTTCCCCTGCCATGCCCACCAAGCCACGCTCACCAAGCCATGCCCACAGCACTGGTAGTAAAAAATTCTGAATTCCACCACTGATTCAAACGCATATAAAGTTTAGTCATATAACAAAAACAACAGAGTCTTAAAGTGCCTTGGCACAGATACTGTATATATGGCATAAGCTTTCAGGAACTAAATCTCATAAATTGTAGGAAATGGTATTATTAATGAGCAATAAAGTATATAGAGAGAGATGTAGAGAATCACAATAATATACAGGTACAATAATTGTATCATATTTACAGAAATAATTATGATTCCCATGGTAAATGTTCTTTCAGTAACCACAATGTTTCCAGAAATTCAAAGATTTAGAGCACCGAGTCTGTTTTACATAATGATCCAAAGTATAAATGGTTCATGAACTGCTGGACTGACAGTTCCCCTGGATATTCTGTGATACCTTAACGGAATTTAAAGCACTATTCAATGGAGAATAGTCTGAGGCCATAACTGAGATTTTCTGCATTTTTAACTAATTCTGAATTTTATAACTCTCATTTCTCATTGTCAAAGAGTATTTTAAAAATGCAAATTATAAACCATAACTAGAAACTTCTTATTGTCTTTTCTCCCATGCAAGGAAAGCACATACATGTCTAAGATTTTCTGAGCTTATATACAAATCAACAAAAAGACTATAGTTTCGATACCAGAATCCTCAAAACATTTAACATTCTTTAATGTATGATACACAAACCATTCCTTGGAATACTGTATTAAATCTCAAACACTACACGATGTGCGGAATTGTCATAAAATAGGATCAGCTTGTTAAGCAATCTGTAATTTTATGAATGAATTCTTTCCGTGCTCATTTAATTTGAACAAACACTATTTTCTTCATTATTGAGTGTTCTTCATTCTTGTTGCCAAGTCATATATGGTAGATATTACAGAATAAATTAATAGACAATAATGAAGGGTTAATAAGTTGCCCTGGAGATGGAATTTGACAGAAATTCATGTGCCAGGCTATGTCAAGAAACAAGAAATTCCAATGAAAGATATGAAGAGATGGAGAATTTTTGAGAATTTTTACCTAATATTACTGTAATACTATATTCATGGAAGGGACCAAATGAATATCTGTCAGACCTTGATAAATGATTATGGCATTGGAATAACCATCAATACTAGCCCTTTGGGGTAAGACCCACTCAGGAAGTAAACACTACAAGAAATACTAAAACTAAAATTTTATTTATACAAATGACAGCTTCTTGAAAGCCTGAGAGTGTTTGCTTTACCTCCCTCTTATATCAAAAAGAATCAAAGCAAGATAATCTTAACTTTCTTTGTCTCACCTTCCTGAGCTAAGTTCATGTTTACCTGGACTAAGTTTACTTGGGCTAAATTCAAGGCAATCTCCTTACTCCTCTACATCAATGAAGGTGAGGTAGATTAACACTGCAAATAAGAGAGATCTGAGGTGGAGGAGGAAAAGGTTCAAAGCCCCATCTTCCATTCCATCAAGGTTCATCTCAAAATCTGCTTCCCATGATTCTTCTGTTATTTGGCCAATGACAAGGAGGACTGCTTGGGATGTACATCCTGAATTATGGTGAAATGCTTACATTGCTAAAATAAAACTTTTAAAATATATTGATAGTCTCCAGGGATTGCTGGATGATGTTTGCCAATCTTGTTCTGTTTATATTAATAAAAGATTTTAAATTGTACAGCAGGGGGCAAGCCGCTCATGACATAGATACCAGAATTCTAAACAAAATCAGTAATATAATACTATACCTTTGGCAATTTTCTCTGCTGAATAAGGTGCTCTAAATTAATTCTGCATTGGCGCTTTTATTGTTACATAACTGGAGCAACTGAGGATGGTTGGTACACTTATATAAGAATGAACCACTAATGCTTTAATCACAGTCTGATGAACTGAGAAGTAAGGCTATACAAATAAACAACAGACTATTAAAGTCAGCAGACTAATATAGAATTAGAAAAAAACCCATGAACTCTGAATCCAATAATGCTCTTGCTAATCTGGCATTTTTTCATACCATTTTCTGTATCAGGGCAACCTGCATGAAACTAGAGATATTAAAGCAGATTGGACAGCATTTGGACAATATAGTTATATTCTGTCTCAGTAGCCAAACAGAAGAATCTGGTTGAACTCTGTACTTTGTATTTTAAAAATTAAAAGCCGAGTACAGCTTGTTAAATCTTGCCAGAGATAGAAGTATTGATTTATTCTGGTGATACAAACCTATTTATTCATTTATTTGTATGTATGAAATATTAAAAAAATATTCAATATATTACAATGTAGAACTCTAAAAACTTAGAAACTATAACCTTCTAATCTAACAGACACACCACAAGAGATTCTAGGATGTGGCTACTTTGAACTTCTTCCTCCTTCCCACATCCAACTCAGGACTTCACAGTCTCTTAATTTGGCCTTCTCTTTGGAATGTGCTGCCTCCTTCCTGGGCATCTGTGGTGCTGCTGAGAATTCTCTCCCTACTCCTTCTCCAAATGCACATTGTTAATAGAAATATTCACAACAATAAGATTTGCTTATTTGATCTGTAATAATTCTGGGAATAAAGTTAGGATAAGATATGATTTGTCCCAATAGCATATAGAGATGGGGAATGGGGAAAAAATTATGGAGCTTGAATTTGTATCCTAAATCAAAATTATTATTTTTTGCTTTTTGCCAATTGTATATTGTATTGTATTGTATTCTTAATTCTCTGTTTAAAATGTCTTAAATCCAGAGAGGAAGGTGAAACTCACCAAGTTTCAAATTAACCTCACTGTTTTGAAAGTCTCTAATATTCAGAAAGTGGTTAAACTCAATACTGAATTTGATTAGAAAGTGAGTATCAGTCCATATTAGAAGCTCTGCCACTTCTGAGAACAAAGATGCCATCTCCATCAGGTCTTGGCACTCAAACCCATAGGAAACCTGTTTTATGGTGCCATTCAGAGCCCTGTTGGGTGATCTCCTGTTTTCTCCTCCAGAGAGCTTTGAAGGAATAGTCTTCTCGCTGATCTTCTTTTTCAAAACAGTCACTGTTTCCATGCCTTTAATCACCCATGACTCACACCAGAAGGCCAGATTGGGCTCAGCCAACTGGAAGACCAGAGATATTTGGAATATTGGTTACTTTTATTGTCAGGTTTTAAAAACAAGTATATAATAATATACTAATTGGAAATTACTGAAATGGAACCCTAGCTCATACCCACAACAAAGGATTGATGAAAACTGCAAATGGACCCTAGATGGAACTAAAAAGCAAGGCAGAAAAGAGTTATAATGGCTAGGCTGGCTTTAACTTTTTCTTATCTTAAAGATTTTTTAAAAAAACTGGACTGAGATATTAATATCTCAGAAAAGATAGAAAGTTCTGTGGGAAAATTGTTACATGATGAGAAAAACCTAAAAAAACCTGTTACCTCACATAAAGAGTTTGAACAATGGAAGTCAACTAAACTGAGATTACCAAAAAGGAAATACAAAAGACAAATCAAAGAAAAGATCTGGAGATGAAACAGCTGCAACAGGAAATGATGCTTCTTTATGAGATGTAGAAAGTAAACTGGCAAAAACTTTGAAGACTCCTTTTGAATGCCGAAGATTGATGAAAGATCAAATCCTGCAATACCATTGGCAGATCAAGATTGTGAAGAGCAAAAAGAAGAAATGCTAAATTTGAGTAATTTGATTAGGAATAAACTTTTTGTTTAATATTTCTGGCAACTTCTAATGAACATTTTCTTGAACTAGGACTGAAATGATTTCTGAACTGCATTGAGACAAAAAATTAGGTTAGGGGGGAATATTTTTTAATTTGCAATTTTAAAAGAGGAATTTTGATGGAATAGAAATTTGTAAAAAGGTGACAAAGGGGCACTCCATGCAGCCATTACCCAACATTCTTTGTTGATCTTGGACAAAATCAAATGCTTCCTTAATTCTTTACCAGTCGTCTGGCAACTTTGGTATTTTCCTGGTTTGAAAACGAACTACCTGGAGTTGGAAACGTATTTTCCTCCAATATAATATTTAAAAAGAAAAACAAAACAAAACAAAACAAATTCTTCATGTGCATATTGGAAAAAAAAACTTAGAGCATCACTGACAAAGGAATCTGGCTAATATTATATCTGACTAAAACAACGTAAGGAATTTTATTGTATCTTTGCCTCTCAGCATATTGAAGAGTCATTACTTTTAAAAAGCCTCTCCTGCTGACGGCTGTGGCATCATGTCAACCTTAAATGAGTGATGCGATGCTATAGTTGTTTCAGGGTACTTCTTAGTTACTGTCTAAAAGCCTGAGATGAATAGGCACACAAAAGTAAGATTTATGGCTTCAGTCACTTAAGCCCCCGTTATAATATTTTAAAATTTATTTGTGCAAGCAAAAAGGAAAACAGAAGATAAAGTAATCAAACATAATATCTCATGTTTTTAATTAAAATACTCCACTTTTTTCATTATAGTTTGAGTATTTACAAATCAATAGCAAGATTCCGTCATTTTTTTTACTTCTTGTTTAATTTTCCCCAATCCAAATATTTTATTACCTAAACTGTAAAATG